AAATGGCAGCTTTAAATAATTATCTTAAGTCTGTGACCAGTATTACTGTATTGAATGAATATCTAGGAGTAAAGATAACTGAAAACAGATCAGTCAGCTATTTCATGTTTGAAGAAGTGTGAAGATAAAAGGCATGATAATGACCTTGAAAATTAAATTAGACATAATGGTTAGAAAAACGATTTGTAATGCCACATGAAAGTTAACTAAAGGCTAATGAATGGACGGTCTCTAAGGGTGAAACAGGTGATTCTATAATCACTTTCTATGGCAAGATTGCATTTTATTTTGGTTATATCTGTTTCAGATTTAGACTAAATTGTTAACATTTGAACAATATAGTTGATTGCTAACAGAAGTAAAGCAGTTTTTTTTTTAAGTTGTGATTTTAAAAAGTATTCTGCATTTGCCTTCCTATTTGTGTTTGTTACGGTATAAGACCAGTTATTTTCCCCCTCATGACTTTCTCTTTTTTCCTTCCATGAATATATGTGCCTGTGAAAATGTCTCCTTTTTATAAATTAATGCATTTGTAATCATCTCATTAGAAATCAAAGAAAAGCAAACTTATAAAGGTATGGTGCTATTTCTAACTTTAGAAAGTAACTACTGTCTAAAATAAAAACAGCCTGATGCTAGTGAGTATAAGATAAAATGAGCATATGTATTTGTTGCTCTGGGAATACAAATTGGAACTACCTTTTTGAAAAGAAAATACAAAACTTATGTGTAATCTCAATTGTATATTTACTCTTGTGGTTTGATTGTAGGCTGTTAGTTATTTTCCCAATTTTCTATATAAGTGTAGTTTAATAGAATGTATCTTCTTTCAGGTTAAAGAACTGAATCATTATCTGGAGGCTGAGAAATCTTGTAGGACTGACCTAGAGATGTATGTAGCTGTTTTAAATACTCAGAAATCCGTTCTACAGGAAGATGCTGAGAAACTGCGAAAAGAATTGCATGAAGGTAAATATATATCCTATGTGTTTTTTTAAAAAATTTTTTTAAAATATATTTTATTGATTTTTTGCAGAGAGGAAGGGAGAGGGATAGAGAGTTAGAAACATCAATGAGAGAGAAACATCGATCAGCTGCCTCATGCACACCCCCTACTGGGGATGTGCCCGCAACCGAGGTGCATGTCCTTGACCGGAATCGAACCTGGGACCCTTCAGTCCACAGGTCAACGCTCTATCCACTGAGCCAAACCGGTTAGGGCATATCCTATGTATTTTTTTATCTTAGTTTCTAAGAGAACTGTGATATTGATGAACAAAACAATAACAAATCTTAAAATACTATTCCAATATATTAGTGGTTTAATTGAAGCTTTCGCAGTTGGTTTGAATATTCCCATGAAAATCTGGAGATTTGAGGTCTACTAAAGATACTTAGATCATTAGTGGCTTCTCTTTCTTACAGGACCCAGTGATAACTTCACAGGGCATGAGCTCTTGGCTGAAAGATAACAGGGCTGGGAACTTCTGCTTAAACTGTTTTTGCCCTCGATCCATTTTGATAGAGATGGATTAGCAAAAGTGATGTATATAAATAATGTATTCTGGTGTTCTTTAGTAACATCCCTATTTATAAGGGACAATTTTGATTTCACTAGTTTGGTAGCAGAGAAGAGATGCAGAAATTGACTATTTTCCCAGGACAGAGGAAGAAGGATCATCTTTTCCTCATTTAACTAAAAATATACTTTTGTCTTTAATTCTTCTACTGAGTCCTGTACACCTGGGGTTCTTAACTTTTTTGTGTCATGGACTCTTGGAAATTTTGTGAAGCCCTTTCAGAATAATGTTTTTAATCCATAAAATACATAGGATTACAAAAGAAACCAACTATATGTGGTATAGTAATAAATGTGCTATTGCAATAATGCATTAAATAACAAGGTCTAGCAGCAGATCTAACAACTTATAATTTTGAAGTAGTTATGAGCATAAATGTTATATATATATTAAGATATTTGTGGCTTCTGTTGGTGATCAAGTCATAGTTATTATTATATTTACTGTGGTTGGTTGCCTACATTTCATAATTGAAGGAAATGATAAATTTCAGTTAGAGGTTCGTGAAAGTAAAGATCTAATTTTTTTCCCTCATGCAACTATATGCGCTCTATTGAAATCTTACATTCGTTGCAGGTTATGCTAGTAACACATTTTAATATGCAGGTTTAAGACTATATTGATAGAGTCCTACAGTGAATACTTTTAAGTATATCAAATGCTGTGAAACATATACTCTTCCGTAAATAATTTAGGTTTGCATATGAGTTAGTATTTTTTCCCTAAATAGTGGAAAGCTGAAATTATATAAGTGTACAGAATTATTTCATAAAATGTTATGAAAATAACCCAAAGTTTGAGCAAGTCTTTGGCTTTCAAGAAACTTGAAATGTGCTGCTGCAGTGAAAAAGACATCCAAATTCTGAAAGGATGTTAAAAAAAAAAAAAGGAATTGCTATTTAAACTATGTGCTCCAACCCTTCCAGAAATAGTATAAGACTGACAAACTTTCCTAATATATCTGGAAAAGTATCTGAGAAGTTTCACTAAAATGAGTATGTGGATAGAGTAATTTCCATACTGAAACCTACCAAAAAATAGTATTTGAATGAAAAGATGACAGACAAAGTTTCAGCAGCAGCCTAAATTGGTAACAACAGCCTAAATTGGTGGAATTAGATATACAGTACAACCAAGTTAGTGCAGTTGCATATCAGAGGTGCTAGGATTGGAGGTGTGTTAGGAGGCAGCAGTGCCATAAATAGGCTTCTTTAAAGAAGTTGTTCTTTCTTTAAAATTTTTTTTATTTTTATTTCAGAGAGGAAGGGAGAGGGAGAGATAGAAACATCAATGATGAGAATCACTGATTGGCTGCCTCCTGCACACCCCCTACTGGGGATCGAGCCCACAACCCAGGCATGTGCCCTTGACTGGAATCAAACCTGGGACCCTTCAGTCCGCAGGCTGATGCTCCATCCACTGAGCCAAATCAGCTAGGGCCAAAGAAGTTGTTCTTAAGTGGAGTTTTGCAAGAAAAGTAGGTATTTGTCAATGATGAACATAATATTTGAGGTCATTTGCATGTGGTACAACTACAGCAAGATAAGGAAGTAAAAGAAGTGTGGTTCAGCAGAAGAGGTGTAGCATGCAAAATGTGAAACAGGAGAGGTAGGCGTGGGCCACGCCACAGAGATTTTGGATTTTATCCTGTGGGCAGAAAGGAGCCTCTGAAGGGTTTAAAATCTTTTTTCTTAATTAACAACTTTATTGAGATGTAATTTGCATGCCATGAAGTTCACTCTTTTAAGGTGTACAGTTCTAATTTCAGAACATTTATTTTATTCCCCCCAAAATTCTATATCCATTGCCAGACATCCCCTATTCTCTCCTCCCTCCCAGCCCCTGGCAACCACTAACCTACTTTCTGTCTCTATAGATTTGCCTCTTCTGGATTTCTATATAAATAGGATGATACAATGTATGGCATTTGTACCTGGCTTCACTGAAGGGTTTTAAACTTTCGAGTGATAATATTAATTTTGCATTTTAGAAAGTTCAATTTAACAGCAGGTTGGAGGATAGAATAGAGAGGGTAAGACTAATGGCGGGAAGAATAACAAAGGGACTGCTGTTGTAGTTGTCTAAGTTACGATGGTTGATCTAAGGCAGAAAATGGCTGTGTCATATTGCACAGGAGGCAGCGTTAGTAGGCTTCTGTTCCATTAGTAGGCTTCTGAGGCAGGAAAAGTCAGAAATATGAGTTGTCTCTTACGTTTCTTGCTTAGGTTGAACTGATGAGTATCAACAACACAAGCATTTACAAAGATTCTTTGACTTAGCCTGAGAGGTCAAAACTAAATGGGCTCAAGAAGGATTCCTGGGTAACAGATTTATGAGTGGTTACTAAACCTTTGACCTTTAGAGCAACGCTTCCCAAGTGTATTCCCTAGAACAGCGGTCGCCAACCAGTGGTCTGCGAAGGATCACTGGTGGTCCATGAGGTCCGAAAGGTTGGCAACCGCTGCCCTAGAACACTTGCTTTGTGAGTGGCACTGTGGCAAAGATTTTTTTGTCAAAGAAATTTGGGAAATACTGTCTTGCCTACCATTGAAATTCAGGGTTTTTGATTGGGGGATTCTTGCAGTTTGCCATCTTTTGGAGCAAGAGCGACAACAACACAATCAGTTAAAACATACGTGGCAGAAGGCCAATGACCAGTTTCTGGAATCTCAGCGTTTGCTGATGAGGGACATGCAGAGAATGGAGATTGTGCTAACTTCAGAACAGCTCCGACAAGTTGAAGAACTGAAAAAGAAAGATCAGGTGAGTAGTATTTTTATGGGACTTGCTTGCTTTGTTGATAATGCATCCTCACTCATTCACATACATGTGACTTCATTATTTTATGTATATTAGAGACTGACTTAATCCTGAAATAAAGTGATGTATGCCATTTCAAAAAACATAGGTGCATTTGAGGGATTTTGTTTTTCAACTTTAGAAATGGCCTTACCTGGAGGAAAAACATGTTTAGAAATGATCTGCTCGAGACTGCAGTATGCAACTGTGCATATTTCTGAGAAATTATTTCTCTATAGTTCTGTCCAGTTTCCCTAGGGCTCTTGAAGTATGTTAATCCAGGCCAGGTCTTACATGAAATTGCTCTAAAAGCCTTCTTAGAAGGTGACAGGGTGGGATGGAGAGGCTGAGTGATATGTAAAGGCAGGTGTCTAGAGTGCTGCATACCCAAGATCCTGTTTGCTTCTTATGATTTAAAAATGATACAAGTCCTCATGTTAAAAATATTTTGTTTTTAAGTACAAAGTAAAATTACAAATATAAAATGATGAAGTAAAAATGATGTCTCTTGACATCTCTCCCACACCTCCCTTCCCAGAAGTAGCCACTTTTAAATCAGGAGTAATCAGCTTGGAAGATAGTCTTCCAGACCATGTTGTGTATTTATTAGTGTATGTTTAGAACTTTGTTTCCTACAGCTGATATCACAGTATAAATACTTACTTTATAACTTACTTTTCTCAGAAGCATTATCTCAAATATATTTTCACATCAGAGATCTGTCTCTCATTAGCTGGTAGCATGGATGTACTGTAATTGATTTAATCCTTCTTGTAGTGAGCATCTAAATAGTTCCTTTTGTGTGTGTCATTTTAAACTGTTGCAGCTAATTGTGTATACGTACAATTATTTCCCTAGGATGGCTGTGTAGAAGCTTTTTAGGTATTAGAAATATTTTATTTTATTCTTTTAATATATTTTTATTGATATTAGAGAGAAAGGGAGAGGGAGAAAGAGACTGAAACATCAATGATGAGAGAGAATCATGGATCAGCTGCCTCCTGCACACCCCCTACTGGGGATCGAGCCCGCAACCTGACCTTGACCGGAATCGAACCCGGGACCCTTCCGCAGGCCAATGCTCTATTCACCGGCTAGGGTTAGAAATATTTTAAATTACTTTGTATGACTTAGTTTAGATTTTGTTTTTCAGAAGTTTCTTCCTTTTTAATTTGCTTTTGTGTTTCTTAATTCTGACTCATTCATCTTGTGTGTAGACACGGTAAATATAAAGGTTTAGATTCTAAAGTTCAGATCTAGTCATGTTCCTTCTGCTGCCCATTAAAACAGTCTTAATTCGTATAACTAGTCATTTAAAGCCTTTAATACAATTTATTGAGCTTTTGCTATATACATGTCAGCATTGTGCTAAGTTTAAATATTAAGCTTTATCTGACATTAGAGGCCCGGTGCACGAAATTCATGCGGGGGGGGGTGGGGGGGGGGGCCCTCAGCCTGACCTGCACCCTCTCCAGTTTAGGCAGTTGGACATCCCTCTTGCAATCCGGGACCTCTGGCTCCTAACCGCTCACCTGCCTGTCTGTCCTAACCACTCTGCCTGCCTGTCTGATCCCCCTAACTGCCCTGCCCTGCCCGCCTGATCCCCCTTACTGCCCTCTCCTGCCGGCCTGTTCGACCCTATTAATTTATTTTTTAATCTTATCCCCTTAACACACAATTGTATTTGACTTCCTTATTGGCTTCTCCCTGTCACACAATTTTTCTCTCTCTTTATTTAACGCTTTTTCCTACTGACTCATCATTTATAAACTTTTCTTTCCTCATTTCCTACTTCTGTTTCATCATCCTTCTTCCCATCTTTCTCCTACCCTCCCTCCCTCCCCACATTCCTTTTTTCCTTTATCTTTACTCCTCCCCCCCTCCCCTTTTCCTTCCTTCCCACCTTAATATTTTTCTTCACTTCCTCCCTCGGACCTGCTTTGCTCCCTCCCCCATTTCTTCCTTCTTCCCATTCTCCTTTTAAGCTCTACCTGCTCCCCTTTAAAACTTTTCTTCCCTTCCTCTTTCTCTCATCCACATTCTTCTCTACTTACTTTCATTGTTTTAATATCTATGTACCTACCTAATTGTTCAGTAGCATTTATCTTTCTTTTCTGACTCCTACTTTTAAAATCTGTACCCAGTACACAACTATACTTGATTTTCATTATAGCTCCTACAGTTCACTCACACATCCTCTTTCCCTCTGCTCCCTACTGACTCCTTTATAAAGTTCTTCCCTCTCTCCTTCCCTTCTTAAAGCTTCTGTTGGGGCGGGGGCGTTAATCCCCAGCCCAGAGCTCAGCCCTCCCGCCACTGTCCTGCTCCCATTCCCTGCCCAGGATGCCCGGCCCAGTGAGGGTGGCCGAGGCCTACTCAGCCCGTGGCCCGGGTGCTGCTGCCGTGAAGCAGTAGTGTCTCCACCTAGAAACCCTGTGGCTGTCCTCCACTCCGTCCTGAACCCATGGGCGCCTCCCAGCCAACGGCTGCCACTGCCCTCCTCCCGCATCTGGGCGGGGCTCCCGCTCTGCACTGCCTGCAACCTGCCCCTCGCTGGGTGCACCTGGTCTGCCCCCCCTCCCCCACCCGGTTGCCACCCCCTTCCACGTGGTTTCTTTCCCTTCCTATTGTATCCTATCCTACCCCTGGCCTTGAAGCTGCCAGAGCAGAGGGTGGGGACGCAGCCTGCTGATATGGTCGTGACATGATGCTGTAATGGACAAATTTGCATATTCCTCTATTATTAAATTAGATTATTAGATTAGATAGTTCTTAAAACAATAATACTGTCCAATTGAAGTAGAGAGTAATGACCAGTCTCTGATTTCAGAGTGTAGGCAGTCACCACCCTCTTCCATATACCTCACTTCTCATGTGCCTGCTCTTTTCAGTCACATCAGACTATTCCGAATTCCCTCAGATGGCTGCCTGTGCCCTGTATTTTTGTACCTACTTCCTTTTTCCCTGGAAGCCTTGCTTGTCTCCTCTCACAGAAGTGGCAAACTCATATTACTGATCCTTCAAGATCCACCTGAATTTCTAGCTCTCTCAAATGAAATCAGTCATTAAAAAAACCCATACTTGTATAGTATTGCAATTGTTTGTGAGTTTGTCCCTTCCCTCTAGGCATTAAAGGCATCTTGTTTTTGAGTGAATGACTACATCTACTTCAATCTTTCCTTTTGTATTTCATATAAATTGGTGCATCTTTTTTTTTTTTAAAGATTTTTTCATTGATTTTTAGAGAGGGAGGTAAAGAGTGGAGAGAGAGAGAAACATCAATGCGAGAGCCAAACGATTGCCTGCCTCCTACACACCACTCACTGGGGATGGAGCCTGAAACCTGGGCATGTGCCCTGACTGGGAATCCAACCAGCAACCTTTTGGTACATGGGATGACACCCAGCCAACTGATCCACACTGGCCAGGGCTGTACATCTTTCTAATGGATAAGTAATATCCTTATTAGTCTTCTACAGTGATCTGAAGGACTGTTCTGTGCAAAGTTTCTTTCTTGGATCATTTGAAAAAGAGGAGGGGCTTTCTTTCTTTTCTTTTTCTTTTACTTGTTTCTTGAGAGTGGAAGGGAGGGGGAGAGACGGAGAGATAGAAACATCGATGTGAGAAAGAAACATCAATTGGTTGCCTCCCACACACGCCCCACCCAGGGCCAAGGATTGAGTCTACGATGAGGTATATGCCCTTGACCAGAATCAAACTCAGGATCCTTCAGTTCAAGGGTTGACACACCATTCCACTGAGCCAAATCGGCCAGGGCGGGTTTGCTTTCTTTTGTTTTGCCTTTCACATTGTATACTTTCTTGGAAGCTATTTCCTGATTTCTTCTTTTTATTAGGGTTCATAGTTTGTGTCTATAGTATTAAAATATTTTGTTTTGCCCAGCATAGCTTAGTGGTTGAGCATTGACCTATGAACCAGGAGGTCATGGTTCGATTCCCCGGTCAGGGCATATGCCTGGGTTGCGGGCTCGATCCCCAGTGTGGGAAGTGCAGGAGGTAGCTGATCAGTGATTCGCTCTCATCATCGATGTTTTTATCTCTCTCCCCTTTCCCTTCCTCTCTGAAATCAATAAACATATATTTAAAATAAATAAATAAATAAAATATTTTGTTTTAACCAGATGCCCTTAGATGTGATTGCAAAACAAATAAACTTAAGTGTCCAGTTTTCTCTCACTATAAAGTTCTTGTTCGTTTTTGTTTTGAGTGGTTAAAGAACTACAGGAATCATTAAATATAGATTACTGGGTAATATTTTTTTCTTTCTAACTTTTAGGAGGAAGATGAACAACAAAGACTTAATAAGAGAAAGGACCACAAAAAAACAGATGTTGAGGAAGAAGTGAAACTACCAGTAGTGTGTGCTTTAACTCATGAAGAATCTTCAGCCCAGTTATCAAATGAAGAGGTATAGTGAATCTGTAATTAAAATCATTGTATGCATGATGTTACCATTTTAGCTTCTCAAACATTAATCAGTTACATTGTTCATCTGGGAAGTGTATAACTACTAGCTGAAAATTAGATAAAATGATATTTACTTTCAGTCATTCTTATGTTGGTATAAGTAGTACTATTTGAAACGTGTTGCAATTTCTCTCATAGTCTCTGAAATAATTTGGATGTTCTTTTATCCAGTGGTTCCAAAATTAAAACATTAGAAGAAATCTTTAATATCTGCAAAATCTTTTTTATATGAATAATTAATGTTGTTAATACATTGAGCTTTTTGTTTAAAAGAGATTATTTAAAATGTTGAAACACGTAACTCCCTATAGCATATATGAAGTACAGACAGTCCCCAGGTTAGGTCAGACTTGACGTACATCGTTTTGTGGTTAAGTCGCCATCTCCTATTTATTTATAAAAAAAAACAAAGTTCCGTCATTTCGACATATGTACATATGTGCTTTATGTTTTTTATTTATTTACCACAAGTAAAGGTCAGGAATTGTTATCTTTCTTTTAAATTTTTTTTTACTGTTTCACTTCATTACTGCTGTGTATGTGCTCCATGTGAGTGACGTAGGTGCTAATGTAGGTAGGTTCCGACTTACAGCGAAAATCGTGTTACTTTAGTTACGCTGTAGGAACAGATCTCTGACTTAACCCGAGGACCTACTGTATTAGGTCTTAAAGCCCTGAGAATAATAGTAGGTGAGGTTTGGCAGATTGTGGTGGGGTATGGTATAACATTTCGGGTATTGGGAATGGATGAGGTAGAGGGACCTGGAGGTGGAAAGTGTAAGGTGGTGTTCTTATGGCCTCATTACCTTTCATCCACAATGTGGACAGGCCTCCTCATTAGGTTTCCTGTCTTCAGCCTGTCCCACTCCATTGCACCCTCAGTGTTACTGGCAGATTTATTTTCTTAAGTGCAGCTGTAGTCAGGCCACTCCCCTACTCAAAACTACCACTGCCTCCCATTGCCTAGATAATGAAGTGCAAATTCCTCACTCAGATAGTGGAGGCCATTCATAATGTGCGCTCTGTTTTAGCCACATTGATTGCCTTGTGCTACACTCCCCATCTTGCATGTTGGTTTCTTCACCTGGAATGCTAATCTCCCTCTGCTTTTCTGATATTGAAATCCTTCTATTTATTCTTCAAGACTCATGCTGGTATCCCCTCTTCAATGATAGAAATGCTTCTCTTATTGCCTTTAGGATAAAAACTAAAAAAGGTCCCTAGCTTGGCATACAATTATTTAAAATGTTGAAACACTTAACTCCCTATAGCATATATGAAGTATTAACTAGTATTAGACAGTTGAAAGACCCTTCTAGCCTTACTATGCTGGCCACTTCATCCTGGCCAGACATTTCTACTTATTGTCAGTGCTCACATGCCTTGTTTATACTGTCCCTGCTGCTTAGAATTTCATGCTCACTTCCCTACCCCTGCCTCCTTTCCCGGCCTGCTACAGCAATTTCAGTTATATTGGATTAAGGGTCTTACCCACTTTCAGAGGTGTTTTTGTTTATTTTGCAGATTTACTCTGAGCCATGTGTATCTTCCTGGTGGCTTATATTTCCATGTTTATGGATTGTTTGACATTTTAAGAAAAGTTTATAAAAATCCTATCAGACATTGAAAAGTATGATGTAATTGTTTTTCTGCATTCTTTGTTTTGAATCATACACTGAGGACCACTAGGACTGATTCTGCGGTATTTTTTTTTAATAGTTAGATTCCCAGGAGATTGTCTCAACTTTTGGGTACTGCCAAATATTATGTGGTTTCTGTGTCATGCAGTCCTGTGTCCAGGAATGTTTGAAAAAGTTTCAAACATTTCCAAAAATATTTTAGCAGGAATATAGGAAAGGGAGATTTTTTGTGATTTGCCATGAAGCCTTTTTTAATTTTTAATTTTGTCTTAACAGATCTATGATATATTGTGTATAGCATTATTTCATGACATTTGAAATAATCTTTTAGACTTTCAGATCTGATATTTTGAATATTTGTTTCAAGTTGAGAATTAGGACAATTTACTTTAGCCTGTTGGTTTAAAGTTAATATGGAATGCTTTGGAAACTTAGTCATATTTATTGGTAATAAAAACATTTAAATTTGTAGGACATCATATCTTTAACCTTATGCTTAGAATATGCTTTTCTCACTACAATGTATATATGTTCATTATAGAAAACTTGGAAAATACAGGAAGGTATACAAAGTAAAAATAACCGGTAGGCAATTCTGCTGCCCAGAGATAGTCACCAATAATATTTTGCTATGTACCCTCTCCTTTCCCTCTTTCTGTTTTCATTCCCAAAGTTAATGTATATGTGTTTCTATTTGTACTTTTTAAACATAATCCAATTGTAACTCTACATAATGTTTTATATATCATTCCCTTCCCCCACACTTAAATCTGTCTTTAAAGGTTTTGACACATCAGTAAATGTTGTTTCCAAAAAAGATAATGTAATGGCTGACATATTTCAGCATGTAAATGTACCATAATTCCTTACTCTCCTACTGATTGATTTATGCCCAGGTTTTAATTTGTAAAAGTCACTGAGTGACAACATGGAGAGGTCAATGCTAGGGAAAGAAAAGTTTGGTGGTATTCACATTCCTCTTAGAAATGAGAGTTGTGCCCCAGCATATGTGGTACACCAGGCAAACCACCTAGGGAAGCAGCAGAGCTGGTCATGAGGCAGAACAGGAGTAAGGACAAAGCATGCCCTAAAGCCATTGTTGGTTTTTTGGGGGAAAAGGGAAGGAAGAGCAGGGTAAACCGCATAAAATTGGCTAGTTTGAATAATTCTAGTGGGTTTTGGGGTAGGGGAAATACTGGCTTGGTGTGTAAGAGTCAGATAAAGGAATTGGCTGGAGATATTGACTCAGGATTGGTTGATTTGTATATGAAAGGCATGTTTGCAGGCATGATGTTTATTCTAGGAATTAGCTAGCTTGGGAAGGGCAGTCTCTCCTTGGCCAGCAAGGCCCCAAAATGTCAAAAACATTGTAAAATATAGAAAATAAAAATACGCTATTTACACACTAATATATATAGTCAAGTTTGTCCATTTTTTACTAGTATCAACTTTTTCATTATTATAAGTAATGCCATAATGCTATTATATACAGGGTATCCCAAAAATGTATACACACTTTGAATAATTATTAATTCTAGTGGGTTAAATCTGAAAAGAAACATCAGTTGAGCTATCAGAAAAAAAGTGTGTATACATTTTTTTGGGACACCCTTTATAATTCTTTTTTGTACAAAAATCATATGGACTTACCTGATTACTTCTTTAGTATAAGTTTGTGGGAAAAGAACTGCTGAGTTTGAGGACATAAACATTTGCAAGGTATTAGGACATATTGTTGAATCATCTTTTGGAAATACCACAACAGTTTACAATTCTCCTGGAAGTGTTCCTTATGCTGTCTGCTGTTTTTCTGCCCCTGTCCCCTTCCCTCTTTGTCACAGCAGCATTGTATGTGATAGCATTAGATGTTAGGCTCCTTCATAGTTCACAGAATGGGTTCTCAGTTCTTATTAGGATACTTCTTTGGGACCTTTGCCATAGCTATTTAATATATACTAGATTTGTGTTCCTTAGTTATCTGAATTTCACAGATGAAAGAAATCAAGAACTTAATATAAAAGTTGTCAACTATTTTACCAAGTAAGGACATTTTTTAGACATGAAAAAAATTTTATTCCATAAACTTTTTTTAGTTCATAAAAGGAAGAACATTTAACAACAAAAAGTAGGAAGGCTATTATCCTATATAATAAAAGCCTAATATGCAAATCGACCAAACGGAATGACCAAGCGAACAACCAGTCGCTATGATGTGCACTGACCACCAGGGGGGCAGACGCTGAATGCAGGAGCTGCTCCCAGCCTGCAGGCCCCAGGCTAGCCAAGGTGGGTACCAGCAAAGGCCCCTGCCTCGATCGCTCTGCCAGTCAGCCCACAGATCAGCCCTGATCGCTAGCCAGGCCTAGGGACCCTACCGGTGCACAAATTTTGTGCACCGGGCCTCTAGTCTTAAAATAAAGGCTAGTACTTTAATTTTAGTGCATTTAGTTTCAAGAGAAACTTGCTATATTTTCCTTGTTTTCTAATCCTCACTAGCTGTGTGACTGCATCACAAAATGGCACTGGTGCCCTTTTTTACTTTGAGAATGTGCTGTACCACATTTTAAAAAATTGAGATGAAATTCATGTAACATAGAGTTAACCATTTAAAGTGCAGCAGAATTGAATATGCTTACAATGTTATTCAGTCATCACCTCTGTCTAGTTTCAAAACATTTTCATCACCCCCAAAAGAAGATCCTATATCCATTAAGGAGTCACTCCCCATTCTCTTTTCCTCTCAGCCTCTGGCAACCACTTGTTTGTTTTTGGTCTTTGTGGACTCATCTATTCTGAACTCATCTATTCATATATTTGGGATCAAACGATATATATAACTTTTGCATCTGGCTTCTTTCACTTAGTGTGCCACATTTAACATATAAATTACATCGTGCTTGAAACTTGATTTCTGGCATACCACATTACCCTCATTTCACTTCTGCCATTCTGCTACTCCTTCCTCTCTCCATCCCCAAAATGTGTTTTTCAGGGTTCTGCCCTTGACCTTCTCAGCCTACAGATTATGTTAGGTGTTCTGATTTGGTGCTGTGATTTGAGTTATCATTATATGATGGTTACTCCCAAGTCTCTGTCTAAAGACTTAAATGTCCCTCTATTGGATGGACATCTCCACTTGGATATACAACAGGCATCTCACACTCAACATTCTCAGCACTGAATTTTAGCAAACCTTCTCTGACTGCTTATGTGTGGACTAAATTCCTCTCCTTGAGCTACCAAGCCATTCAGTACATAGTAGTAGCCTATCATTTTATTAAATACAATGTTCTGATAGCCTGCTTACTTGTTTAGTTTTTCATGAAGCCATAAGCATCTTTTTTTTTTATACTATTTATTTTATTTTTTTTGTTTTTTAGGCCATAAGCATCTTGAGGGCAGAGATTGCTCACAGTTGTATCCTGAGTTCACAGGATGCAAGTTGTATCTTGTTCACAGATGTATCCCAAGTGCCTGGTTTAGTGCCCAGCAAGCAAATAGAGGGTACTCAATAAATGTTTGTTCGCCCTGACCGGTTTGGCTCAGTGGATAGAGCGTCGGCCTGTGGACTCAAGAGTCCTGGGTTTGATTCCAGTCAAGGGCATGTACCTTGGTTGCGGGCACATCCCCAGTGGGGAGTGTGCAGGAGGCAGCTGATCGATGTTTCTCTCTCATCGATGTTTCTAACTCCCTATCCCTCTCCTCTCCTCTCTGTAAAAAATGAATAAAATATATTAAATAAATAAATAAATAAATAAATAAATAAATGTTTGTTCAATAAATACGTGAAGGTAAC